CTGGGGGGGGGGGGGGGAGGCGGGTACACTTGACCACAATGCTCCGGTTGGCTGTGAGCCAGGCAGTGCGGGCAGCTGGGCATGCTATTGCAACGACGGGGGCTGTGGACGGGCTCGCTGTGGTCCGTGCAGGCAGCGGGGCGGTTTGCGGGCGGTGGGCTGCGGCGGTGGCGCTGACGCGCAAGATGGCGACCGGGGCCGGGGCCGGGGCCGGTTCTGGCCCGGGCGGCGAGGGCAAGCGCGGCGGGCGCGGGCGGGCTGGGCGCAACGTTGCAAGCAGCGGGGCAAAGCGGCCGGGGCCGAATGGGGTGCTCCGCGGAGTGCCGCGCGAGCCGCTGCGGGAGGAGCCGAAGATGCGGTACGCCGGGTTTGACAACCCCAACTCGCGCGAGTTTACGCCGTACCCGTACCAGCACATCATGCGGGTCAATCGTGTGGTGAACGTGACCAAGGGTGGACGTCGGCAGTCATTCAACGCCCTGGTGGTGCTGGGCAACATGCGCGGCTCGGCAGGCTTTGGGTTTGGCAAGGGCACGGACGTGCGGGCGGCGGTGAAGCGGGCGTTCTCAGACGCACACAAGAACGTCATTTACGTCGACATGTACAATGGGCGGACGGTGAACCACGAGCTGTTCTACAAGTACGGTGCATCGAAGGTGCTCATCCGGCCGCAGCGCAAGGACGGCCCGTACCGGGCGGGGCGGCCGTATCTCCCAGTCCTCGAGGCGTTTGGCTTCAAGGAGGTCTCGATCAAGACCCACGGCTCGCGCAACATGCTCAACGTGCTCAAGGCGATCTGGAACGCGCTTGCGCGGCATCGGTCGGCCGAAGATGTGGCGCGGGCCCGCGGCAAGACGCTGGTCGACGTCTCGGGCGCGCACCCGGACCCGCGCAAGCGTCGGCTTGATCCGAACGCGCACTTTTACGAGCTGTAGAAAATGAAGGAAATGCAAGCAGCGAGAAGAAGAGCGAGTGCGTCAGTCATGTGCGTGTGGGGAGTTTACTTGGCGGCGGCAGCAGCCTGCTCCTTGCGCTTGTTGCGCTTGGCCTTCTTCATCTTCTTGACGGCAAGGATGCGCTCCTTGGCCGAGGGATGGATCTTGAAGCCGTAGATGCGCGGAACATACTCCTGGGTGGCCGGCGAGGGCATCATCTCGGGGTAGATGTGGAAGATGAGGTGGGCAAAGGTGGTGCCAAAGTAGGCGCCATCGATGTTGGCCTGGCGCTGCGAGCGCGGAATGTACAGGTTCTCGCACCGCGGGCAGAAGACCTTGACCGTGTTCGTCCGCGGCATGTCCGACTCGCCGACCGGAAGCACCGCCTGTCCGTTGCAGAACACCCGCGGGCACTTGCCAAACTGGTGGTGGTTGTACTTGTCAGCCATCGCCGACAGGCCACGGTTGGTCAGGATGTACCGCGCATGGATTAGCCCGTACAGCATCTCCGCCGCAGTCTCGATCATCTCCTGCTGCTCCTCGGTAAACATCTGGTTCGGTGTGTCACAGTCGAGAATCATGTCCATCGCGTACTCGTAGTAGGGGACCATTGACGAGAGCCCGGTCAGGTTAAAGTCGTCCTGTGGCGCAAAGAAAGTGTGAGTATGTTGGAGTGGGGAGAACAGTAAGTTGCGGGCATGCAGCAGCCTGTGCAGGGTGCAGAGGATGGGGGGTTTTCTCATGGGTCCGTACCTGGATAAAGTCCTCATCCACCTCGCAGAAGAACTCGTTGCCGCGGAGCGAGCAGAACCACCTGATCCATGTCGGCTCCAGCTCCTCCTCCGACTCAAAATCCGACATCAAGCAAGCAGTTACCTATGTTCCGTTATGTGCAGCACATTGCCCACGTCATCCATGTTTGTGTGAGTGCCTGTCGCGGCTAGCGGTGTGGTGGGAGGGTGGCAGTGGCGGCAAGAGGGGCTGACGGGTCGGCGTTGCTGGGACGGGGTTGGCCTTGAGGACTAGCCACAGTAACAAAGATGATGGTCAGCACCGGCAGAAGAGGGGCTCACAGGCGAGTGCCACTGCCGCAGGTATGTCCTAGAGTAGAGAGTGGCTGCGGGCCATTGCAGGCACCTGTTCACGTGCCCATAGGTCGCAAGAACCATTCGGTAGCGCGTTCCATCCGACGTCGTTTTTTTGGACTTGCTCACCGGCTCGCCAGTCAGAGCCACAGCCAAGGGCATAGACGAGCAATGCCGAGAGGTGGGTGTGGAAAGGGTGTGGGGACAAGAGTGTATGGCTAGTGTGTGGGAGGGGAGGCAGAGCATTGAGCGCATGCGAGAATGGAACGTACTCGACGACGAGAGGTGCGGGGCAGCGAGCGGTCGTGGCGGGGAGGCCAATGGCAGTCGTCGGCGGCTGGCCTGGCGTCGGACTCGTTTGGCATGGTGTTGTGGCGGCGAGCATCATGTGCGAATGAAAAAGAGGTGAGGAGAGGGGTTCAATGATGGTAGTGCGCAGCAAGGTGATGTAGGGGCAGCGTGGGAGGTAGGAAGTCGGCGGGGTGCGGGTATGTTTGGGACGGTGGTGGCGCGGAGGGAAGGTGGCGAGGAGGTGGGGCTGGGATTGGAAAGGGTGGTTGTGGCGTTCGGCGCTGTGGACTGGTGTGAAGAGAGCGCACGCGTTGCGGACAGTTGGCCGCAAGCGGCGGGGGGGGGGAGACTGTCGCGGTGGCGGCAGGGGCGGACACCTCTCGCGTGGAGCAACAGCGGCAGGTATGTCGCGAGAGTTGGCGTTCTGCCGGTCTGAGATGACCTACCGGAGTGGCAAGAAGCTGAAGAAGAGCAAGCATGGCTATGTTGTGCTGCGAGGAGCGAGTTTGACGCACTTTGCAAACGCTCGCATGTCCAAGACCAAAGCCTCGTTTGACCTTGGCGAGCACAAGCTCGCCGGCGAGCTGGAGTGCATGTGTGCCAAGCCGCTGCCGTTTGCGCTGCCGCTGACGGGGCCGAAGGCGTCAAGCTCGCTCTGCCTCCACGCGCCCACCGCCGACCTGCACGCCAAGTGGTTGCAAGCGCTGACGCTGACATGCGGCGACCATGCCGGTACAAGCGGCGCGGACGGTGGCGCGGCGGCAGGCTCGGTCTCGGGCTCGGGTTCGGGCTCGGGCCCGGGCTCGAGGAGCAGCTCAGGCTCGGGCTCGGGGAGCAGCTCGGGCTCGTACTCGTACTCTTACTCGTACTACAGCGGGACAGGCGAGAGTGATAACGGGAGCGGCGGAAAGAGCAAGGCCAAGGTCAAGACCAAGCACTCGCGGCTCGACCACGTGCTCTCTGAGATTGTGCACACAGAGAAAGCATACCTAGCGGATCTGCAACTGCTGGTCGACGTCCTCGCCTCGGCCGAGTCCAAGTTTGAGGCCGAGCTCGTGGCGCGGCTGTTTGGCAACATTGGCGAGCTGTATGCAGTTCACAGCGAGATTGTGGCAGCGCTTGATTCGGGCGACAGCACGCTGGAGAATGTGGTCGACGTCTTTGTGGCGGCTGCAGGTCGGTTTGTGGGCTACAAGGAGTACTGTGAGAAGCAGAACGAGTTCAACCAGGTGCTTGATGAGGCCAAAGCGAGCGACCCACAGTTTGCGGCTTTTCTCGCGGACACGCTTGCGCTGCCGCAATCGCGGTCACTGCCGCTCTCAGCGTTTGCGCTCGCACCGGTCCAGCGAGTCCTCAAATACCACCTCCTGTTCGACTCGCTGGCCAAAGCGGCGGCGGGCGCAGAGGTGAGCTACGCGCCGATTGCCGACTTGGTTGAGCTGTACTCGGCGGTGGCGGCAGGAGTAGACAAAGCCGGAGTGGACACCACGTTTGTGGTTGACCCCAAGGTCGTCGAGCACCGGCGGCGTCTGGCGGAAAAGGTGCCATCACAGTGCTCCGAGTGCGGCGGCAAGCCTGCGGCATGGGTCTCACCGCAGACCGGGCAGTGGACATGCTTCCGGTGTGCCTTCATCTACCGCACGATCGGGCTGCGGGTGACACCGGCCAAGGCGCCGAAGGCGAGTGACAAGCAGATCGACTTTGTGTGCGGGCTAACGTCGCGGCACGCATCGGCGATCTACGAGGCCAACATGGAGGCATGGGTTGAGTATCCGACGCCGACTGACGATGACGCGGTGGTGAGGCAGTTTATTGCGGCCAAGTATGTTGAGCGCAAGTGGTTTGACCAAACGGCGTTTGCCGCCGTGCTCTCGCGGCTTGGAATCCAGCTCGACGATCTCGACGATGGTGAGCCAGAACTCGGTGGTGTTGAGCTGACTACGATGAGCAGCCAGGCCGAGTACGACGCGATTCCGACGGTGAAGCAGGGCTGGCTGGTCAAGATGCGCCACAATCGGTGGCAGCGGCGGTGGTGGGTCCTCAAGGGTACTTCGCTGTTTTACTTTGGGCGAGTCAACGACTCGAGCAAGATCTCGCGGGCAAAGGGCGTGATGCAGCTCTCCAAGTCGGTGAGCGAGCGCTCGGATGGGTACGGGCGGGAGCACGTGATTGTCACGCGCACGCCACTTCGCGACTGGGTCCTCCAGGCCGACGATGCCGACGACGCGCAGGCATGGTGCGAGATCCTCGAGTCTGCGGCACGGAGGACGGCGGCGCCGCCGGGTCAGCTCTCGGTCTTCGCCGCAGATACGCTCGTCGAGTGGCCAACAGCCGAGACGACCACGGCCGAACTCGAGGCTGCACTCGGCAACGGAGTGACTGTGATGGGTGGGTGGCGAGTCCGGGCCGGCATGCAGAGCCAAAAGTCGGTGCCTGCTGTTCTGGTCCTCACAGACGACGCGATCATCATTGGGCGCGCGGTCCGTGACACGATCGGAGCCGAGGATGATGGAGTGACTGAGGCAGGGCGAGACGAGGGCGAGGTTGATTGCGAAGGAGGCGAAAAAGGGGAAGGTCAAGGTCATGTGTCACATCAAGCTTCCGTACGAGATTGTCGCTGCGACCAACGTAGTCGACGGCATGGTGGTCAACACCTTTTCGCTGGTGGCGCTCGACAAGGGAGTGTCATACCTGGTTAACGCAGGAACGCCGCAGGTCAAGGATGAGATTCTCAAGACGCTTGTGGCTAAGCTACGGATGCTGCTCCAGGCAGCGACCGAGGCTTCAGCCACCAAGGCGTCGGAGCAGCAGGCACGGATTGCGGCCGAGTTTGTCGCAGCGCACCCGGTCCCGACAGGCATTGTCAACATTGGCGACAGCGACCGCAAGCTTGCGCGCGAGCGGATGTGCAACGAGCTCGACGTGGTAGCTGGCAACCAGGGCGAGGCGCTCGAGCTGACCGAGCAGCTCCGTGCCGTGTTTGCGGAGAAGATCGAGGTTGTCAACGACATGAAGCAGGTGCTGCGCGAGCTTCGTCGTGCATAAACATTTACAGCATGTAACAAGCTTACCAGTCGAGATCGCCGAGGCCGTCAAGCAAAACATCAACGTCCTGCTTGCGCGAGAGCGATGGACCGCTCGGTGCTCTCGGCTCCGGAGCAGCTGCAGCGGCGGTGGTGGGAAGGTCGATGGCGGCGAGGGCGGCGTCGAGTGCAGGATCGTCCTCCAGCGGCGGGAGTGGCGGCACAGGAGGCTGAGTATCAGCAGGAGTAGGAGCGGGCGAGGTGTCCAGCGGCGATGGCTCGAGCGGGTCGTCGGCGAGCATGTCCAGTGAGATGTCAGCAAGAGCGGCTTGGGCGGCAAGGGCAGCGCTGGAGACGGCGGGCTGCGGCGGGCAAGGTGGCGCAGGTGGCGGAGAAGGACCGGGTTGGGCTGGGCCCCTTGGCGTGGCGTGGAGACCGGCAACCCGAGCGCCAGTCGCTACGGGTGCACGTGTGGCCGGCGCGGCAGTGGATGAGACCGGCGGCGGGACGGGGCCAATGCGGGCATCAGCCCAGAGCTTGCGGGAGAGATTGGCCGGTGACTTTGGCGCGTGAGTGGCCATGCTTGCAAAGCGTGGCGCGGCCGGTGGCGTTGATATGGCGAGCAGTCGCTCGACGGTGGCGTTGATGAGCTTGGGCGGGTGCGGAGGAGCGCCTCGTCCAAAGACAAGACACACGTTCTCGGTAGTGATGTTGAGGTAGCGGACGTGGCGCTGCGGCTGAAAGACGGAGACGTCGATGAGGACGAGGACAGCGCCTTCGCCGACGGTGGGGAAGTGATCGAGGAGGCGGCGGTGGAGGGTGCCCTCGACCGAGCCGGTGGGATCCTTGACTTCGACGGCAAAGTCACCGGCCGGAGTCGCAGAGAACTGAGAGACAAAGACAATGAGCGAGGAGACCTTGGAGGCGGTCGAGGCCTTGACGCCGGCGACGGACTCGCGAAAGAGTGGCGACGGCTTGTCGCCAGCACGTGGAAAAGACGGGAGGCCAAAGGCGTTGAGCATGGCCTTCCATGCCGAGCCTGGGGCAGCAAAGTCGATGTCGTCCTTCTTCTTGGCGGCGGACGAGAGCTGCGAGAGTGAGAGCGACGAGTCCGACGGCTTGTTCGGAGTACTCGGATCCGGGTGCGGGAGGAGAGCCAGCAGGCCGGCCGGCCCGGGAATACGCCGCTGCGGGGTGTGAGTCTTGGACTTGCCCTTGGACGAGCCCGGCTTGCGGATGCGGTGTGACCTCGAGCGGCGGTTCTCGTCGCCGCGCCGGCGGGTAGGTGGTGGGCGCGTTGGAGGCGACGGGTCGGCAGCGTCACGCTTGCGCTTGCCTGGCTTGCCTGGAGAGTTGAGCGGAGAGAGAAGAAGGTTGAGGGTGGTGCCCGAGTTGTCAGACGACGACATGCGTCCCCTGTGGGAGGTGGCGGGGCGGGGAGGGGGAGCAGGGGCAAGACAAGTGGAATGGGTGGTGGTGTGGAGTGGTCGTCGCAGCGAGAGCGACTCGTCGCGGCGGAGTGTGCCCGAAAAAGGTCGTGAAAACTGTGACGATGTCGACTTTGTACCGAGGAAGGAGGCACACACGTCTCGGGAACAGTAAGCAAGAACATCATCGAGCTGGAGCGAGGACAGAAGGAGGTTGAGGAAGAGGAAGCGGAGTGCGCGATGAGGTGGTGGTGGCGATGGCCACGGCATCGGGATGGTGGCTGTGGCTGGGATGGACGTGAAAGTGGCGGAGTAGGGGGTGGTGGTCGTGGTTGATGGTGATCGGGCGTAATGAGTATGGTAGGGGGGATGAAGGGGGTCGTGACATGGATGGTGTGGCGGGCGAAGGGATGGTGGGTATGGCGATTCAGCTTGAGGATGGATGTGGGTGGGAATGATGAGGCAGATGGGTGTGTGTAGGGTGTGGGCGATGAGGGAGGCGGGTACTTGGGCGGCGAGGGCAAGGAGGGCGGACGGATTGGATTGAGATGGACGTCAATGGAAACGATGGCTTAGGATTGGAAGACGAGGCAGACCACTGCACTCTGGCCCACCACTGAATTGCATATCGCTTGCCCTTGCCCTCTCTTGTTCTTCCTCGTCCTGGCCAGCTCACTGGCTTCGTCGTCTGGCTCGGTGGACGGCGGCAGGGGCGGCTGGCGATGAGCAGGCCGGCGGGGGCTGTGATGGGCAAGGCCGGAGGAGGGAGGGAAGGATTGGGTTGGAGGGCAGACTGGTAGTCATTGCCAATGCTGTGGCTATCCATATGCATTGTTTTCAATGATCTGTCGATGGCGAGCTTGCTCTCGGTGGTGCCGGCGGTGGTCGGTCGGCGGCGGGCGGCGGTCGGCGGCGAGAAGCAGGCGGTCGGCAGTGATGCTGTTGACGGGATGGCGTCGGCTGATGTGCGTATCGGCGCAAGTGAAGTGGATGGTTATCTTTGTAGAGGGTGTGGGTATGTGTGGCGTGGGTGTGGTGGTTGTGGATGGGAATGGTGGGGAGTGGGGGTCGGAGATGGGCCCGAGAAGGGGGAGTCAGCACCTTCGAAGGGACACAGGGCCAACAACTTGGGCCTGAGCCGGCAGAACTCGGATTCCGGAATACTGCAGCTATGGATTGGAGACTGCGCATGAACGTAGTGTGCGTATGTAGTAGAGTAGTAGTGAAATCAGATTGGTCATATCTTGCAATGAGGTTGGTGGGGGGCATGTGCGGGGTCGGGCGGACGAGGACGTGCTCAACCACCTAGGCAAAACAAGCCTACGCGGAAATGAGCCGAGGAAGATGGGTATCAATGACAGTAATATTGGTACTAGTGATAGTGTGAGGTGAGTGATGACCTTGGGCGTGGTTGCGGGTTGCGTAGCTGGTAATGGGAAGGAGCTAGGTGGTGATGAAGGTGGGCCTGATCGGGCGAGCGGGCGACAGCTGGCGGCTGGTGCCCGGCGAGACAGGGGCAGCAGAGGGGGCGGGATCAGGGCTGAGTGGCTTGAGAATACTGTTGGTTGGTGGATAAGCAGTATGGCATGAGCTGATTGGAGAATGGCGGTGTGGAGGTCGGAAGAGAGGATGGGGGTGAGTTGGAGCGAGGAGAGGACGACGATGAGGAGGAAGAGGAAGCGGAGTGCGCGATGGGATGGTGGTGGGCATGGCCATGGCATGCGGGTGGGAGTTGTGACTGGGATGATAGTGATGGTGGTGGGGTAGGGGTGGGGTTGGTCGTTTATGGTGACGGGTGGTAATGAGTATGGTAGGGGGGATGAGGGGCGTCGTCACGTGGGTGGCGTAGCGGGCGGAATGGTGGTGAGTATGGCGATTGGGCTTGAGCAATGATGAAGGTGAGTATGATACGGCTGATGGCTGTGTGTTGAGTGTGGGCGATGAGGGAGCCGGGTACTTGGGCGGCAGAGGGAAGGCGGCAGACGTTAATTAAATTGAACGTTGAATAAATTGAAGAAGAGCAGGAACGGGCATCAAACGAGGCAAAGACAGCCACCAACAAGCAACCAACGAGGTCG